GAATCATCAAATAGCACTAATAGAGCTTATCGCACTTTCAAAAGAAAATTCTCAAACCATCCATTTCCAACAAAACCAGGAACAGCTCGTGAATATATTAATCATCCAAATCATACTAACACGAAAGAATTTTTAGCAATCACCTTACCTTCATTTCCACAATATACTTTGAACACCCCTAACGACACTAACGACACACGTAGTTTTGTAGGAGAACAAGTTTTAATGCCTACACTTCATTGGACATCATATTATCACTTTACTAACCCCCTTTGCCTACCTTTATCTAATACTCACATCGATATAAAAAGAAATCAAGACATGCTATATCGACTCACCACACCACTAACACATAGACAATTTACTTATATAGGTTATAAAAAGTCACTAAAAACATACACTGCACCCCGAGCTAACGAATATACGCTAGAATATTACGATCACAACATCATCCGAGCTAACCAAGACCAATTTTTAGATGATGATCGTTTCGCTAACCCACAAATCACAAAAAAATTCTTCATAAAAACACCATATGTATTTACACTCAATATATTTGATCGCAAATTCGACCACGTCATTTCTGAAGCACTAACCGACATGCAAGCTTACGAAAGTTTTAAAGAAAGATTTCAATTATTTTCACTAACCTTCAATTTCCTTGCACCACAAGAACGCGATTTGCACTGCTCACACGACATTATGTTACGCACTAAACAAACCCACACATATACATATTATCGCTTCATACAAAATCACTTTGATCTACACACCCCATCAAGACAACCACACCACCGTTTTCAATTTATTAACTCTAAATACACATCACCATTTTTTCTTAACTTCACATATTGCATCAAAGATACTAACCTTCACGGTATTCTTCGCAATTATGATCCCATAACCCAAATGTATATTTTTTGTCCCATCACGAAGACCTTCAACGCAGAAGAATCCAGACCCTTCCTTATCCCACATGAATTTATCCAACCTATAGAAATCCCGATATTAGAATTCATTCACAACACTAAATACAATCACAAATTATATAATCTCATCCAAAACACACCTTATGAGTTTGCAGTTGGCACTGAAGAACTAAAAACTATTAAAGCACTTCAATTGCTTTGGCCACTGCTTCAAACTAAAAACATCATTCGCATACTAGCAAAATTACTAACAAATTCCGACATAATACACGACATCTTCCCCCACGGTTTTTTCCCCGACGACTAACAGGTAAGTATAATTTATCATATTCTTCACTAATAAATTTGAAAAATACTAACCATTCTTATCCATGTCTTATTTAGATTTTTAGTCTTCATCCCACGATCACCTACAAATTCCACAAAAGAAAAATAAAAAAAAGAAAACTTCTTCAAATTCTTCAAAACTCTAATAATATTTTGCACTAGATAAATTCAATAAAAATCATACCAATGTAGTAAATTAATTTATAAATTATTTCCCTAAAAGCAGTAATTCTAATAATGATGAAAATTTGTAACTTAATTTTTCCCAAAAAAAAAAATTAGCAGTAAAATTGAAATTCTATGTAGTAAATTGATAAAACGAAAATGCAGTACTAACCTTTTGATATTTTCATTCACTCGCACAAGAATTCTATCCAAACTCGCACAGCTCGCCCACGAAGAATTGTTTAAATAATGAATTTCAGTTTTAAGTTTTCACACTCAACAACTCTAACACATGATAACAAGTTTCAAACTTTCCTTTAACCCGGTTGGAAAGGAATTATATACTAAACAAAACTAACCAACGCAGCTTACTAAACACCACAACACATAGAATAATAGCATGACTAAGAAAAGGAAACCAACGGTACCCAAACCGGATTAACCCAGTTTAAAACTGGATAATTTATTCTTTTAAAGACTATTATAAAGTCTAATAAAGAAATAATAAAACACAAAAAAGTCGAAAGACAAACCCATACCAAAAACAATTTGATTTTTGAAAAAAAGGACACAACCAACGAAACATAAGAAAAACCACAATAAACCCAACATAAAACGTTATCACATAACATGACCTCTCACAAAAACCGCACGAAATCATACTCCCACTCCTGGCCTAACCCACCAGAGAGGACGTCCTGAGCATGCTCTATAGCCGGCCTAACCCACCGCGCTACATCCACGCTTTGTGACCACACTTCTATTTTTAATAAGAGGTATTCAAGGGTGAGTAACTCTTCAAAATAACCGAACTAAAACAAAAAGCTTTTGTGAAAACAACTAACCAAAATCATAATTAAAACACCGAACTAATTAAAATTTTATAAAATGTAAATTATACCTTGCAGTATATAGATCAGCATACAACACCAAAGACGAACATCCAAAAGACAAAAGGACCCCACTACACTCGAAAAAGAATGGCCAACCACAATCAATATGCCGTCCACAATCACAACTCAAAGGATTTAGAGTACGACTTGACTTCGCAGAAAAGGACTTCATTGAACTAGACCAATGACCACCTCGATGTTCAAGTATACGTACAGATCCGAGTAACCAGGCATCCCCTCCACGCACAATCTCCACGCCCTTCCCAGACTAGGTTGAAGACAAAAGAAGTTCTCTACATGAAACAGAAAAACCTGTCATAGCAAACCATTCTGAAATCAAATTTGATTTTGTTGAGAAAACCCAGTCGTTGTCATAAGAAGACACAACGATTGATCCTGGAACTTCTCTAACAGGAGAACCCAGAAGAAATATGATGTTCGCCAAATACCAACGTCCATCATCCATCCTTTGAATTGCAGAAAAACTATTCTAAAAAACTCTGTAAAACCCGGATGGGTGGAACCTGATCTAAACTACATTTTATGATTGGATAAATTAGATATTTTACCACTGTAAAGTATTTAATATTAACCAATCATGATCCATCTAACTAACAACTCACTTATTTGTAAGTGCTGAAATTACTTGTAATTTCAGCACCAGAGAGATTTGAATTTAACTTAGAAATTAGTTGCCTCTCCAAGAGAACTTCAGCAGCCGCAATAAACCAGTATACCCTAGATCTATTGAGCCTAGCAGAGACTAGTTAAACAACCTGAGACTAGAATAGTATAATGTAAGATTAGGATCGGTATTAGACTAAGAAGTTGCACGAATCTATCCGGCCGGAAATAAGATAGCGTGACGAGCAGACGGTGTACCCTATCCGAAATTACTCTATGAGTTAAGACCATCGGTTATAACTCATTTAGGTCTATCTCCGGAGAGAAAAAAAGAGCGCTGAGTGCATACAAAAAGTTTTGCTGTATTCTGATAATAAGGCAGCCAAGTATCCAGTTATGACCTCGCCTGGTTTTAATTTTTTGTTCCGACCGTTGAAACCATCTTCTTGTTTTAGTTTTCTTAAATTTAGTTTTCCACGCAAAATCAGGTACTACAAATAATCAACGGAATGGGACAAGTGATATATTATATGAGCCCTTCCAGTCGTGAGTTTTCGTCTGATTTCCAGCTAGTAAAGCAAGCGAGTAGATCTTATCAATGAAAAGTATTTTTAAGTTGTAAAAAACTTAGCGCTTTCTTGGAAATCAAAAATTTTTAAAACATTAAAAAACTATTCTGCAAAAATATGAAAAAATTTTTCAGATGCATTTTTGTTTATTCTGTTTTCGAGGTCAACTATTGTCAGTTAGTTTTAATTTTTTATGGATCTGGCCGGGACATTCTGTGCTACTTACACAGCAACTAGCTATTTATATCGCGCTATGTCTCTACCTTCAAGTCATTTTTTATCATAAATGTTGAAAATCTATAAATTTTTTTAAAAAGCGTTAAATAAGTACTGATGCTATATTTGACTCTAGACGAAGCAGGAAACTCCTGAATGAATTTTTAAAAATCAGATCTCATTTTCTGCTTTTCTTTTTTCTTAAGAACTTCAGATCTAAGATATAAGGATTGTCTAATTAAAATTTTGAAAAAAAAAATGTGAAAAAAATCATGAAGAAAAACATATAATCTTCCTTAATATAGATTAAAATGATTTTTAATAGCTTGTGAAATATACCGGAAGCTATTTATTATAGTGAACAGGAGCTGATTTACGGAGGGGGGGCGGTGGGGTTTTCAAAATTTTTTGAAAACCCGCCCCTGGTTTTCGAAAAACTACTGAGAAAACACCATAATTTGGCACCAATTCACAGATATTGCTAATTAAATATTTTTCAATGTTAAATTCTAAATTCTGTTTCTTCGTATAATTTAAACCTCTATTCTGAAGATATTGAAGCGTGTTGCTCGAACGCTTTCGGACAACATAAGAACAACAATTTAAAATAACAGAAATTAAGGAATTTTTTCTGCTGATGTGAGGTTCAAGGAATACATAACGCTCTACTCCTGATTTCTATCTTCGATTTTTGTCTTATTTCCAGTAAACACGCTAATAGCTTTTAAAAAATACATCACGTGGCTTATTCCTCCTCTAGGCATGGCCCTTGGATAGTCCAGCGGCAATTAGATAGTCCATATATTAAATAGCCAGTCGTTATGGACGTGAGAGTTCAAATCGAGAGGTGCGAATTTCGTGTTTACATGACAAACTCGGGCTTCTCATTGAGCTGTGATCGGTCACGCTTTAATTTCAAGGAAAACCTCCGCTGAACTCTTGGGAAGTGCGTGAATATTGTTTGCAGCGAAATGAAAACATTATACAAACAGCTTTTGTAAGTGTTCGCACCGTTACACATGAAAGAAAATATCATTAGTGATGGTTTGATAGATCATCAAACGAGAGATCATAACTAGAGGAGTTTATCAAGAAATGATTTAGGAACATCAAAATCGTTCAAAATGTTGTCACTTTCACTCGACAAGTACTTAGTTTATAAACAGGTTTCGTTAGTACATGCATTTCAAAGTTGTTTACCAGGAACCACTCTGATCTTCAATACGAGCCCGTTTCTACTCTCAGAGATCTCTGACGTTTCGGAGTCGCTCGTAAAAACCAAGTTTAAACATATATCTTTCTCTGTATATTTTTTGAAGTCTGATTATTAATTAGATGATTTTATGTTCGCGGATATATGTGCGAAAGCTTCTGAGAGATCTCAATGAGGTATAATTGATATAACACAAGTCATTGAGAGCATAGTATTCTTAAGCGAGACATGAGTTAGTATAGAAACAAAAGAACTGTCTGCTTAGATTACCTGTAGCTGATTGGCTTTAAGTGGCTACTGGCTCCGTTTTTATTGGACACTCAAACATTCAAATTATCTTGTTACAATCGTTCAGGATTGGCTGAGAGCCCCAGGCTGCTTGCAGTCTTGATAAGTCTCTCTACTTGTTTGGCAGAAGTCTAATTACCACACTGCTTATTTGAGAGGGCTTCTTGTAAAGTTGTTCAAGAAGAGATTCCTGTCTTCTCCAACCTGATTCTTATTCCATTGGCTCCAAATGTCTGGTTTCGAGTATAACTTGGACTAAACTCGATGATTGATAATGAATGAGTAAAATGAGAGCTTGTTTAAAAAAGCAAATGAAACTAAATAAGACTGTTCATTCAGTAACATCTCTGGCTGAGCAGTTGTTGAGTTGGTCAAAACAAAAGAAGCTTAGCCGACGGCTACTCTCAACCACACTTAAGAAGGTACTACTTGTTAGCCAATAGATAACTATCATAATTTATCGAATAATTTCAAAGTATTTGATTGGTTCGCAGCACCATAAAGTGGTTCTGCTGCTAGCAGCTGATTTCTTTATAGTTTAATCTTTTCAATAAAGTGCTTCTTGCGCCGACGAAGCTTGGCTGCGCAACTACAAAACATAATCACATCATAGATAATCAGCCGCGGGCCGTTTCGTTGTTCTTACCTGTCCAAACTATAAATCTTCGTTCTTTTCATCAATCTAAAATTTATTCCACTTGGACTCGAAAACAACTATCGTCGAGATATCAAATTGTCATAAAATTATCATTGATTCATTATCGCTACAAGCTGTAAAAGCCTCTCAACTTTTGTGCTAAATCAAAAAGACTAATTAAAACTTCACTTGAAAACAACTCTTTTCTCAAACCAACTACATAATATTGCTCTCCAATTACGATGATACAAGCAAAAAACGCGGTCAGCTCTGAAGTTCCAGCTCGACAGGCAACCCCCCAGAAACCAAAATCGTCCCCCTTTCTCATGGACAACATTCTTTCCGGGAAAGGGAGCAAAATGGTTTCCGGAAAAAACGCTAGCGGATGCGAAGTGAATTTTGCGGGGGAAAGTTTTCACACCTTGCCAGTCTGTTCTGCGATGGACAGAAGTAGACCGATGATTCTCAATGGTAAGAAAGCTTCAGATAGTCAGATCTTCAGAAGAACTTTTCGAAAAACATGGCTAAGTTCGAACAGAAAAATGATTTCCCAAAATTCATAAAACCAATATCAATAGTTTTTAAAAGAATTCTTTGATTTTCATGATTTTTTTCAATTAATGATAGAAGAACTTGATAATTTACTCAATAGTAAAAACTGTTTAAAATTAGTTTGCTTGAACTTCATTTTTCAACAAAGTTGAAACATTTTTCTTTCTCAGAATCCCAAGAGACTTTGCGACGAGCATCCAACGAACTATCTCCTCCGATGACATCGCCGATCTCTTGCTCAAACAATAACACTGCAGTCCGCATGACGCCTATCTCAACGCCAACTAGCGGGACACCTCCTGCTTCCCTAAGCGCCGAAAAGTACAAAAGCATCTCTCCAACTCCATTCAACTCCAAAAAACAAATTTCGTATTCCCCGACTTCCAGTGACGTAATAGATGACGTCACCCATGATATAATAGATGACGACAATGACACTGAAGACGAAGACGATTCCTCGGATCTGAGCCGGAAGAAAAACCGGACTGCGTTCACGCCGCACCAGATATACGAGCTGGAGAAGAGGTTCAGATCGCAGAAGTATTTGTCGGCAAGTGAGAGAGGAGAGTTCGCTTTGTCGCTCAAACTCACAGACACCCAGGTACAGATTTAAAAGTCCTATATACTTAGGGTACCGCGACAACTCGCCAGAAAATACAACTCGCAAAAATTTAAGAAAAGCGACAACTCGCAAACTTTCATGATTAATTTATAACTTAAGAATTTCAGTTTAAGGTCGTTGGTGGGCGCTAGGCGCGCGTCAACAAATGTTGTATAAAGCCTTACCCTGTGTTGGCAAGCTCGCAACACGTTCGCGTGACTGCGGATGAAAGCATATTGCGAGTTCTCTTTTAATGCGAGTTACTTTTTATTGCGAGTTGTAGCATTACGTATCTTTATATTGTTTCAAAGCCATTACTTACCTACAAAACTTTTTCATTCAAGTCAAGTCTTAAAAAAAATAATTTTTAATAAGGTTTTAATGTTTTTCAATCAAAAGCGCTCAAAAAGTTCAAGACTACTTACAGAAAGTTGAACAAGTTTCAACATTTGTATATACAGGAATGAGCCAAAAGTTTTTCTCGTTTTCAGATAAAGTACAAGTAGAACAAGTAAAAAAGCATACCTGCTCGTTCAAAATATCTATGTTTTTTTGCTTCCAAGTTTTTTTGTGCTGAACTTTTGTGATGGATACAGTTTTTACTTTAGATCAAAACCTGGTTCCAAAACCGAAGAATGAAACACAAACGACAACAGATAGACGCTGAAAATTTGCAACTAGCAGCCTTGTATGGGCCTCTGATTCAACAGCAAGCAGCCGCCGCTTCATTCCTCCGGAACTCCGGGGCACTTTTCCCCGGACCCGGAAACGGTCTGGAACACCACCCTTTCATGTCACTTCCCGGGTCACCGGCGGCGTCTTTGTTCTACAACAATCCAGGTCAATTCGGACTGAGTCCGAACGAAAATCACCCCTCTGTTGGGCTACCGTTGTCGACTGTCTTCGCCAATGGATCACCCGCTCACGTTCCTTTGCCGACGCCTGTGTCCCGAAACTTCCCTGGGCTCCCCGGGACGACACCCAACATGACTCATCCACTCATTCCAAACATAAACTCAATCCCACATGAGTTTTTAAAACTGACCTCAAGTTTAGTTGGAAATAACCTGAACTTTCATAACCAGTTTGCGACAAAACCTCCGCATCAGATGCCGGTGTTTTCGTCAGCTGCCCAAATCATGTCACCGATAAGGAGCTGCAGCGACTCGACACCGATTTTGAACCTTCCAAAAATGGAACCAAATTTCGCAAGTTCAGATTCTCAGAAGTTGATTGTAACTAATGCTACCATGGAAAATCAGCAAACGGTCAAGTCACATCCAATTTTGACAGAAAAACTTCAAAAGCTGATCCAATGCGTCGTTCACAACGAATAAAACTTGAGCAAATTTTTTTGTCTAAAATTATTCAAAATCATTTTTTTTCTTTCAAATTCTCATAGTATGATTATCTGAATTATCATGAAAATTTTAAAAAAAGTTTTGTATCAAATCTAATATTTGCATTAAATTTGTTAGAACAAAGTTTTTTGCATTTTGCTCGCTTTCGCTTTTCATTCATCACTATTGAATTTTTTTTAAAAATGTTAAATTATGTCAAGAAGATATATGTAATAGATTTAAATTTACATTAGCATTAGTAGTAATTCGAGTTCTTTCCAAACTTTCAATTAAACTTGTCGGCTTCATTGCAATTGATGAGATTGATTAACAATCACTTAGCTTTTAAGTTTTATGTTGGTTTAATTTGACTAATAATTCAAGTCGCTCTGGTCAATTGTTTTTAAAAGTTGCTCGTTTTAACACAGAGAATGTAGTCTCTTTTTTGTTGAGCTTCACGGCAGTTTAAGTGTCTATTAGTTGAGCATGAATTTAAGTGCCACTGAGGCAGGCGAGATCTTATGTACTGACGTGCGTATTGAATATTCGAATCCATTTTTTTGTAACACAGCCTCAATTTTAGTTTGAAACATAAAGCGATAATGGGTCACAACTTTTTTTTTTTTCAGACTTTCAAATAAAGTGAAGAATATATGCTTAGTTGGGGTAGTTTTTTTTATCAAAACTTATTCTACAATGGGTATCGAACCTGGAATTTATGTGTTTTCAAGCGGGCGCGATGCTCACTATCCTAAATACGGGGATCGAAAACTGAGTAAACAGGTAATTGGGTCGTCTAAGAACCAAAAATAGGGAATCCAAAACTATTTATCCTTTTTTTTTAAAAAAAAGTTCAACTGAAACTACTGTAAAATTGAAGCAGAAGCTAATGCGATGCAAATTTTGAGCACAGAAATAGTTATCAACCCCACCCTGACCTGTAATAGCTTGAACCAAACAGTAACCGCATAGGTTTTATGATTAATAGTTGTGATTATTGTTACATCTTGATTCTTGATTCTTGCTAGTTAAGTTTCTGGCTACATCGACTTATTGTTCCGACTTTAGAAGAAAACGGAATATTTATGCTCGGTCTGTTTTTTATTCAGTCAATTTTCGCCGATCGAAATAATAGTTTTCAACAAAAATTTTTATACTTTTTGAAGATATCGATTTCCTGAGTTCAAATTCAAAAAGATATTTTACCTCCAATAACTTTTTCCAAAGTTTTGGGGGTTTAAAAATTGCCAAATTCGCCATGTTCTGGACTACATTATGCGCGCTTTGAAGCATTAATTCAAAATACTGAGAGCATAACGCGAATTATTTATGCGTAGCGAATTATCCCGCACAACAAAATCGTTCCAAATTGAATTGATGCTAGCTAATCGGTCGCATTAGTTTCGTAAAACTCAATTTTTTACACTTGCGCTTTCTTTTTGTCCAAAATTTATAGGTTTTCAATATTTTCGTTTCCCAAAAAACTATTCGATATGAATTAAGGGACAGTCAGAACATTCACGGCTTTGCCCTGATATACGAGCAGCCTTGCTGCATCTCAGTTCTCACACAAAAATTAGATTTTGTCGTGTCAGCTTTCCAGTTTTTTGATCTAGCAGTTTAATGTCGTCTGAGTTTCTGTGTACCAATTTTTTGCATACTCAATTTCGCAGCCTCTCTGAATGAGTTTTTGTTCCGACTTTCGATACGAAAGTAACGGAATATTTGTGCTCGGGGTGGGTTTTTTTTCTTCAGACAAGTTTCGACTTTTTAACTAACTATTTTTGACGGAATTTTTTTTAATATCATTCAAAAGGTATTGTTGTCCTGAGCTTAAATTTGAAAAGATATTTCACCTGTGATCATTTTTCGTGAAGTTATGAGGGTTTAAAGATTGCCATTTTGACCAATTTGGGACAATTAACGCGCGATATAATTCGCGCTATTAACGCGTGAGCGGAAATTTAATCCGTCTTATAAATTGTTCCAAATTAGTTGAACGAAGTTTATTGCCATAATTGATTTGTTACAAGGAACGAAATCTATCTTTTTGTACTTAATATGGCGTGTGGGGGGATGATTTTCTCAAAAAATTTCAACTTTTAGAAAAAAAAATTTTCATTTCATTTTCTTTCTTTTATTTTTTTATGTTATTACTGCTGCTCCATAAACCTTAAAAGCCAGTCGGAACAAAATCTCTCTTTTTGTGCTTTATTTGGCGTGTGGGGGGAAGATTTTCATAAAAAATTTCAAATTATAGAAAAAAAAAACATTTTCGTTTTATTTTATTTCATTTAATTTTTTTAATGTTATTACTGCTGCTCCATAAACCTTAAAGGCAGTCGGAACATTAAGGGCTTCGCCCTGATACGAGCAGTCTTGTAATTGTTTGAAAACTTTTTCCATGCTAAAAGCGTAATACGTACTATTTTCCGCCTAAAATTGGTTCCAACATGAAATCAGGAAAGCTAATTGCTCCTATGATTTTATTGTACGGCTCAAACTTTAACCAGTCTAGTTTGGTTGACAGTCCAAAACATAGTTTATGGAAAACAAATATCAAAAACTTAGGAGACCAAATAAAGGGCAGTCCAGAAATTTTTGTCTGATAAATGAGCAGTTTTGATGGAGATTTTTGATCAAAAATTTTGTGCAGAATCAGCTGAACCCGAAAATGAAAAATTACGTAACTAATTGATATAAATTTTTGGTTTCGTAGCAATTCAACGTGTTCATTATTAATAATTGCGTGATGTGCAACAAAAATAACGAATACAAACATGCAGTTCACAATAGTTAGTTTTTTGTCGTGCAAAATGTCATAACATTACGAGAGCGGAACTTAGATTTTCAAACTTGAAATTCAAATGTAAGGCGAGCGGAAAAGAGCTAACATATGATATTTTTACCAGGTTTTTGAGGTGTAGATGAAATGGCATGCAAAAAGGTGCCTAGGTCTTATTTTAGTTCCATTCGTTCAGAGCAAGGGACGGCAAGGGATATTTTCAGCGATAAATAGTAACAAGACTGCTCGTATCAGGGCGAAGCCCTGAATATTCCGACTGGCTTTTAAGGTTTATGGAGCAGCAGTAATAACATAAAAAATTAAAAGAAAGAAAATGAAATGAAAATTTTTTTTTCTAAAAGTTGAAATTTTTTGAGAAAATCATCCCCCCACACGCCATATAAAGTACAAAAAGATAGATTTCGTTCCTTGTAACAAATCAATTATGCCACATAAGCTTCGTTCAACCAATTTGGAATGATTTATAAGACGGATTAAATCTCCGCTTACGCGTTAATAGCGCGAATTATATCGCGCGTTAATTGTCAGAAATTGGCCAAAATGTCAATCTTTAAACCCCCATAACTTTACGAAAAATAATCACAGGTAAAATATTTTTTCAAATTTGAGCTCAGGGCAACAATACCTTTTGAATGATATAAAATTCCGTCAAAAATGGCTAGTTAAAAAGTCGAAATTTGTCTGAAGAAAAAAAAAACCCACCCCGAGCACAAATATTCCGTTACTTTCGTATCGAAAGTCGGAACAACAAGCGATGCTTCGTAGTTTTTTCCGAGGGAGACCATTCGTGATGCGCGACAATTTTTAAAACTTCATTTGATATGTTTTGTTTGAAGAGTGCAATGCTTCGTGTCGTTTGTAGGTTCACACGGAGCAAAAAAAGTTGCCTCTTGCCGACTCCTCGTTTGAAACTAGAAACCATTCAGTTTCTAACTATTATGAAAGGCTAGTTAATACAAACTTCAGCGATTTTTTCAGAGCAGTCAGATAAAATGGTAGCCTGACATGCCACTGCATTGCCAGCATTTACGCCTTCATTTGCACAGATAAACTTTCAATTTTTTGCACGTTTTTAGTTTTGATTTTTTTTGTAATTACCCCACAATCATATTCAAATAGATAGAATAAAATTTATCTAACTAATGCTTCTTTTCAAATGTGCCCCAGTTATAGAGACAAATGAAGTTGATGCAAACGCGTTGTGCATAGAAAAAAGGATAAGTTTGTGCAGCTAAAACCATTATAAACGTTCAAACCATTGCCAAGGCTGTGTGCTGCAAGTAAGAATTTAGTATATAGACCTTGTGCTTTTCATACTGTGCTTTTCATGTTATATTTCAGACTCTCAAAAAAGGCTGTGTATTTGAGTTTGATGTCGTTTTCAATTTTCAACTTTTTAACTAGCTCTATGCGACTGACTTCCCATAGCATCAGAAAAATTTTGATGTCCTGAACTGAAATTATATAAAAATTGGATAAATTTTTCTAGAGTTGTAAGGATTTGAGAGTTACCCATTTGACCACTTTGAGAAAATTAACAACCGATAAATTTTTCTAAAAATTAACTTTTTATAAATTACTGGTTGGTCGGATTAAGGTCAGTTTGCCATCAAAAATATTTACAAATTTTCGAGATTGTGGAAAATGGTTTTGAATTCATGTTAACCGGAAAATGCTTGCCTTATTTTGTTCAGATGTCTTTTATTTGATGTTAATCTGTTTGAAATTTCCGCTTAAATTCAAAAGATCTCCGTAGCTCATCATACTTTCTGAAAGAATTTGCCAAAAAAAAAATTTGAAAACCAAAATCTCGTCCATCCGTTTTGCAAAAATTTATGCATAGATGCGTCTTTATTGCGTTGCAATGAACCGGTTGCATTCCTCAGTTCTGCCGAGAGCTTTCAGGGTCAAAAGCTTCGAATAACCAGTCATTACTTAAATTCAAAGTTGTTAAAAACCTTTTAGAGGTCCGCTGACAAAATAACAACAAGCTTCGAACTTATTTCATTACCAGGTCGTTGCAACAGACCAAAATTGATCTCCGGTTCTCATCTTAATCTTTGCAGCTTATTGGATCACTACACAAGTGATTCGAGGGGTTAATATTGATGCAATGTTTATCTCAACTCTGTATGCTGAAGTTTCAGTATGTATTATTACCCCAACCTGGTGTCTGGGCTAATAGTTTAGTTTTCGTTGCGAAAGGGGGGTAGGAGGTAGTTGAGTGGTGATTTTGTCCGCTTTTCGGAAACGGGGCGGTAGGTTCGGCAAAAGCTGTGTATGGCTAGATGTCTTTACACTTGTTGTCAATCAGCGTTTGCATCAGAAGAACTCAACCTTTTCATACCCTTTGTTCTCTGCCAATTATCAATGATAATGGCCAAATCAATCAAAATTTAATGAATTAGTATAATAAACTAAGCATTGAAGTTGTGTTTGCGGAGACATTCTCATTTCGAGATGAGTTCTGATTGAGAA